GGGATTTTACATCGCGAGCTGAGCTGTAAATTGCACTGTTTCTGAAGCTGTACATATAACCCGAGAAGGGATTTTATTTGAGTGGAGAATCTCTTTGTAGCATTTTATTTCAGGCTTTAAAAGTTCTTTATTCTTCTTCCCTTTTGGTCTTTGGACCATATACGGCTCAGTCGAATATGGGGGAATGAGATTTGATTCCTTATGCAGAAAGGTGCATGTCTTTTTAGTGATAGAAGGGTTCTTTGAGATGGGTTTCTTTCTGGGCTGAAGAAGAACTGGTTAGAATATCCATTGCACTTGCCATTAGATTGTTGAATAGCCTTAGATAAGAGGGGTTTTTTGTTTTTGTTTATTGATATATCGAACCTGAAGATGGCTGCAAAGCTTCTGCATTCTTTAGCTGATGAAAATCCAGATCTGCAGAAGCAATTAGGATGCATGACTGGGATTTTGCAGCTGTTTGATCGTCAGCATATACTGGATGGAAGACATATGAAGCACAAGCGCCTCCCTCCTGGTATTTCCCTATCTGAATCTGCTTTATTGTCTTATAGTTTTGGATGTTTTGATCACTTTGATGCATCTTGTTAGAACTGAAGTTCGTGTTTCCTTTTGGCTCTCTCTGCTGTTTGTCTGATGTGTTAACATCACTGTTTTATGAATACCTCTGTGATTGGTACTCTTCATACATATGTGTCTAATCCAATGATGATCCTTTGAGCTTATATGATTGAAATTCGGATAGATTACTTCTGTTTGAGCCACTCCAGAGGAGTTTCACAGTGTAACAGCCAAATCCATTGTATCTAGATGAGTACCCGTTCCATTGCGTAACTCCAAAAGATGCGTTTTAAAACCTTGAAGGGAAGCCCGGAAGGGAAACTCCAAAGAGGACATTGGTCGGAGTAGGGCTAGACTATCTCCATAGTAGACGCCAAAAAAGACAATATCTACTAGCTGTAGACTTGGACTGTTACACATAGTCATTTAATCGGTTATTACTTATAAATCCTTTGGCAATCTTGTTTTCCTGTCATTTTGTGGAGCATTTGGCTTGAGCTGAATAGTATAATCTTTCGAGGAGCGGAAAGGTCCAGTAAGAAGTTTCGAGAGGCGATTAGATTTAACTCGTCTTTGTAGGTGTTTGTGGTATGCAAACTGATAGCATGCCAATTTATTTGCAATCTTGTCTACTGCAGGCACTTCTCATCTAGATATTGGTAGCACAGGAAAAGAGTACAATGTCTTACAGAGAGATGCTACTGTAAGTCTCCGAATGACCATTTGTTTAAGCGGATTAGTTTACGAACTTATAATTATGCTTAAGCGTTTAAGTTACGGTAATTGGAGTTCTCCTGGATCTTAATCTATGAAATCGTGTTCTTGCAGGTCGTGTCCCTAAATGAGAGTTTCAATGAGAAACAAAGGTTTAATAAAGAATTATCAAGAGCTTCTTTCTCTTCTTGCTCATCTTCCTTATCCTCTAGTGAGTACAACAAAACAGCTCCATCGCAAGCTTCGTCATTCGATCAGATACTCTTATCAAGAACGCCCTCAAGGGATTCTGTAGCAAACCAGTCAAATACCTCTCCTCGTGTCGGGAAACAACACCTTGATCTTCGAGATGTTGTGAAGGATTCTATGTATAGGGAAGCTAGAATGTTATCAGTCAAAACGTCTACTAACGAGGAACTACTGAGTCGTTCTATGAAGCATAGAGACTCTCCAAGGCCTTCACAGCTATCCCAATCTGCAGATGGGGCTTGTAAGGTTGATACAAATTGGAAACAAAAGATGCCTGTTGATCTAAAGGAGTCTCTTCTAGTTCTTGCTAAGCTTCGAGATGCACCATGGCATTATAATGAAGCCATAGAGCACGAACGACCGTTTCATGAAGTGAAAAATGGATCGTTGCCATCATTCTCGAGAGATGCTCCTCGGTTTTCTTGTGATGGGAGAGAGGTTGATCGATTGTCCTTCGAATCACGAGATACCATTCGATCAGCTCCAAAATTTAAAGACTTTCCAAGACTCTCATTGGACAGCAGGGAGAGTTCAATTCAGGATTCCAAATCTGTGTCAAACTCTATTAGACTTTCAAAGAACTTGCACGGTAGCGACCCTTCTGATCCTCCAAAACCGTCAGGATCTCGAAAGCATCCTCCTAGTGTTGTGGCTAAGTTGATGGGATTAGAAGCACTTCCAGGTTCACCTTTGGCTAGTGATAGTCAAGTTAAAGGTGACCCTTTTGTTAGCTCATTGGATGGCACAAGCTCTATCAGCCCAATTAGAACTTATGACTCTCCTCGGAACACATTGAAAGGCCCGACTTCACCACGATGGAAGAATCCTGATTTAGTCATGAAACCTATACCAAATTCGAAGTTTCCGGTAGAAGTTGCGCCATGGAGGCAGCCAGATGGAGGTCGAGCCTCTCACAAACCTACTCTAAAGCATGCTAAAGGATTAGCTGCATCGTCTGACCACTTTCCTTCTGTTTATAGCGAAATCGAGAAAAGATTGGAAGACTTGGAGTTTAAACATTCAGGGAAAGATCTTAGAGCACTAAAACAGATCCTTGATGCTATGCAACCAAAGGGGCTTTTGGATACTAGAAATGAGGAGGAACCTTCTAACAGTGGAACTCAAAGAGACAACGAACCAAAACGGGAAAGCGCTAGCGTTAATTCTAGGTTGATCAACGAACAAAGTCGGAAAAAGAACCAAAAGGCTGCAACAACTAGCAGGCCTGATTCTTCTAGATGTAGGGAATCTCCTATTGTAATCATGAAGCCAGCAAAACTTGTAGAAAAATCTGGAATTCCAGCTTCATCTGTTATTCGAATCGACGGCCTTCCTGGTTTCCCCAAGCTTGAGAAAGCTTCACATGGCAAAAGGAACACCAGTGGTAGCCGAGCAATTAAAGATACGTCGCCTGAAACTAGTCACAAGGACTCCGGGGCGAGTTCCACCAAAAAGAAAGACAACGCAAAAAATGTAAGACCAACGCATTCTTCTTCAAAGCCTCAACAAAACACCATTAGTTCAATAAAAACCTCAGGGTCTGTGAGCCCAAGACTGCAACAGAAGAAGGTTGAGCAAGACAAACGATCCCGACCACCAACTCCTCCATCCGACACAAATAAAACTAGATGGAAATCCAACCGAAAAGGAACCGATTCAGGTTCTCCCGTTGGAAAACCGAGAGTGAAACCTTCCCATGTCTGCCAAATGGATGACCAATCGAGTGAAATAAGCAATGAGTCGAGAACTTTGAGTAACCAGGGTGATGACATATCTCAACTATCTGATAGTAATTTATCCTTGGACTCAAAGACAGATATTGAAGTCACCAGCAGTGAGCTTCCTTCTGACATAAATGGCAGCCATATTTTACAAATGAAGACTTCAAAGGACTCGGATTCTCGCTTAACGGAAAACGTTGGTGACTTTTTTCATTTTATTTTCCCCTCTACTTAGATTGTTTCAGAACTCAAATTTGAGATTTTCATTTTGTGACTTGCAGGCAGAACTTGCTACACCTGCTCCTGAACATCCTAGTCCGATCTCCATTCTCGATGCTTCTATATATAGAGACAACGAACTGTCCCCGTCTCCATCTCCTGTTAAGCAGACAAAAACCCTCAAAGGTGATCAAATCTATCACCAAAAACAACAATCCTTTTTGATGATCAATCATGATATGAAGCTTCAATTTAGTCCCTTCTAATACTGTTTGATGCATACATTTCAGGCAATAGGGAGTTGGGCTCTGGAAATTGTGGTGAATATCAATGGAGTGCCACAGATAACAGTGTGGAGCCTGGTCTTAGCACAGAAATCAACCGCAAGAAATTGCAAAACATTGACAACTTGGTTCAGAAGCTCAGACGCCTGAACTCTCACTATGATGAAGCAAAAACAGATTACATTGCATCATTATGTGAGAATACTGACCCAGATAACAGATACATATCTGAAATATTGTTAGCTTCTGGCCTCTTACTTCGGGACCTCGGCTCGGGCTTGGCAACGTTTCAACTCCATCCATCTGGTCATCCAATCAACCCCGAGTTGTTCTTCGTTTTGGAACAAACCAAGACAGGCAGTTTGCTAAGAAAAGATGACTGCAGCTCTCATAAAGTTACAGATTCAAAACTGAGCCAGGAAAAATCTCACCGTAAACTCATTTTTGATGTTGTTAATGAGTTTCTTGCCAGGAAGTTGTCTGTTGTTGCCACATCAACTGAGCCTTGGACAACATCCAGAAAACTAGCAACTAAAACTCTTAGTGCTCAAAAGCTTTTGAAGGAGCTATGTTCCGAAATAGAACAGCTTCAAACTAAGAAACCCGAATGCAACTTCGAAGACGAGGACGATGGGTTGAAAAACATCTTAAAGGAGGATGTGATGCAAAGATCTGAGAGTTGGACTGATTTCTATGGCGACATCTCCAACGTCGTCTTAGATGCTGAAAGATTGATCTTCAAAGATTTAGTCGACGAAATCATGTATGTTGGGGCTGCTCATTTACGCGCCAAGTCAGGCAGACGAAGACAGTTGCTTACCTGATTTATAGTTTCTTCTTTACCTTTCATAGTGATGAAACTTCCATTTTTTCTATAATATATATCATTGTGACTGGGAATTAAGAAGTGTTGTAAAGATGGTTACAAGCTTTCAAACCATGAACATTCTTGTTATGAATCAATATATGAAAAGATCTGAATGATTCTGAAAGTTGGTTCTGAAATGCTAAATTTATGTTTTAGTCCCAATCTTAGGATATTTTCCCAATTTATTTCCTATTGTTGTTATTTATTTCAATTAAAATGATATTGTTGACAATACTATTTATAACACGTCAACAAGAAAGACTTAATTGTTCGTCTTACGACTAAAAAATATTTTTGAATTAAGATACTTGGCAAATTCCATGAAAATTTAAATAGTATTTTTGAAAAGTCATCTATTTTTGAAAAGTGATCTCAAGCACAACATTAATTTCCACCGTTACGAAGGTAAGAAGAAACTTCGGGTGGCATCGTCAATGGACGGAACAGCAACTGCTCAGAAGGCGAGGAAAATGAAGCTGGATTGGCCTGATCCATTAATGGGAATGGAAAGCTTGGAGGGTCAAAATGGCAACAGTTTTCAGTCATGGCGTTGGTTTGAAGCTGAAGAGCAGAAAAAGAAGCATTGTTGGGTGAAGGAGACAACTTCTGAAGCAAAAGCATCCCAGTTTCTTCATGTTTGGCCTTCGCTGCAGCATCTGCAATATCAAGATGAAGAAACGAGGCATTTGGGTCAAAATCTTTTGGAAAATGGAGTGGTGGGAGCTTATCAATATCAACTCTTGTGACATCAATCAGCCAGTCTATGACTTTGCTGGGTTGGCTGAGGCCAAGTCTGTTCTGCAAATCATAAAGTTGAATAGCAGTGGGAGCTGAAAGCCTAATCCTTCTGTCTCTTAAGCCCTTCATTGTGCAAACTTTGCTATGCCTGTCTTTTCCTCCAAACAAAGGAGAAACTCTAAAAATTCTTGGATTGCCTCTAAGAAATGGCCCTTGCCTTGAAGGCCCCTTCTTCCTTTTGCCCTCCATTTGTTTTGCTTCAACATGAACGCCCTCTGGCTTCAATCTTGAGATCATATTATTTACTCTTCCTGTCATTTCTTCAAAACAGAGCTTATAGAATAAAATGATACAAAAAATGATCTGTAAGTTCCCTTTTCTTCGAACCAGATGGCTTTCAGGATTACAACAAACCCATATCAGATAAGAGAGAGAACACAAATTAGCAGCAAAGTGAAGGATTCGACAATTGCATACGAGGGGAGAAGGGAGAATGAATAAAGAAGAATTGTTTGTTTAACATTGAGAACTAGGCATCATATTTTACTAATGAGTATTTATTTGCTTGCATTGATATGATGGCTAAAAGTCAACAAGAGAATTAAAAGCTTTATTAATTAGGGTTCGTAAAGAGGTGTAGAAGAGAGCCCTTATACGGAAGAAAAAATAGGGTAGGAAAATTTAGAGTCATTTGAGAGTGACTTCAGAGTATATTATAGCTTGTTTCAAAGGTAAAGGTGAATTGTGTGGTAATGGACATGCTACGTGAATAGATGAAGGACCAATTATATCGCCATAGACTTATTAAGATACCTCAATTTTGGCTTAGTTTTCAAAAATCAAATGGGTTATTAAAGGAAACTAAATTCTACAATAATAGATTTGGATTTATAAGATGAGATTACAAAAATAAATAAAATAACCTTAAAATTATGCTATTGGTTCCTAAACACGCCTCCTCTTCCTTGCCCCAAGGAAGGTATCAAACACGGTTGTTGTGGTTCATCCACTACCCCTCTCCTTTCTTTTCTCTACCTTCTTCCACAGTCCACAGGGTCTATGTCATACTTGAGCAACCTATATACCCTCCTACGTATCCTAGTTGCCAACTACCAAAATCCCTCAATATCCACATAACATGATTCTTTATTCATATGACCAGGGGATTAAAATCCCAGCCTTGTTATTGTTGCAGTCAAAGACAAATAACACAAAGCTCAGGATATAACAATACTGATATGCAAGAAAATGTCCTAAAATTCAGGAGCAATGGAAGTGTTTCCTGGTGCAACATTGTTGCAAATGGTTGTAGTATAAGCACATAACATTGCAAAAGAAACAAAAAAATTGAATGAGTTCGAGGAGATGTACTTTATTGACGCCAAATCCCATGTCTTGTCTTGAGGTATAGACTAGGCGTACAAACAACTATATCTAAAAAACCCACTCTCAGGTTAACAAAGACAGGCAGAGTAGAAGAATACAAGCTGGAGAGAACATTTCCCAGAGCACAACGAACCTGATAAAAATTCTGAAGTTAATAATGGTCATTTACAGGAATTTGCAATCAAAATTGACTATTATTAGACAATAAAACAACTGGGATCAGAATGCAACGGAATAACAGCAACAAAAATCACGCAGAAGACTGGGTAACAAGAGGAAAGAATCCATAATGCAGCAAGCAGGTCATGAAAATATTATAGAAACCTACCAAACCTGATGAAAACAGGAACAACTTATTTATGTCAGAAAACTAGCACACACTATCATTACAAGCAATAGCATTACAAAATAAAAGTCATTTTACTTCATAAAATTAATTCACTAGACCGCATTTATGTTCTTAATGATATAAAAATATTAATATCAAGTTGTCCTTTTTTCTAGGAAACAGTCAGTACCCCTTCATTGATATGATGAAATGGGGAGACAAAAGAAGTTCCAATCCAATGTTAATAACTACAAAAATCTCCGCCTATTCCTAAGCCATGGTTTTGTGTACCCATCAAAAGGTGTTTTATTCTAATTTGGGGGTTTGTTCCCCAGTATAGGCACTTCCTAGGCTACACCCTAGGTTTACTCGTTCGATTTTCTTGGTTCTTGGTCCTATATCTGAACCTCTAGCCCTCGGAACATTCTTAAGTTCTTTAGGTCTCCGGGTTAGTCCTTTCATCATCATATCTCTAAGTCTTCGAGGCGCGACCTCAGTATCAATCTCATAGGGTTCATGCATGCTAAGGCTCGACCAACTCTAAGGTGCAGCTTGGACCCCTGCTGCTCGTGGCAAGTTCACCAAAAGAAAACTAACTGACAAACTTTTTAATAGTCCCCACAAAGCACAAATCATAGATCATAAAACATCATATGCTAGTTCTATGGTTATTCGGACCCCTAACAATCGAGTCAGGTTTACAATTAGGGGCTAGTTGGCGAACCCCTAACCATCCTCGTATAACCCCATAACTCATATGCATGAACAATAGTCGTAACCAACTCGTAAGGTACAGCTGTGGACCTACGTCGCTCATGACAGGCTCACTACAGGAAGCTAACTGGCAAACTTTACCGTAGTCCCCACAGGGTACAGTCATACGTCATAAACTATCATATGCCAATTCTATGGTTATCCGGACCCCTAACAATTGAGTTAGGTTCACAATAAGAGGTTAGTTGGCGAACCCTCAATCGTCCCTGTATAACCGCATACATCACAAATAGATGGAATAGAGACATAGCATAGCGATCTAAATATGGATACCTAGTCAAAGATTTCAGTTCATAGGACAATGCGTATAGAGCTTTCACACGCACTACAAAAGTCTACATAGGTCGTTTTTAGTAACTTGAGTCTTGTTGTAGAGGTAGTGGCTCGTAATTGATGACGTGCAATTGGGACGGTGGTATACTTTCTAAGTATAGACATGTGGAACACATTGTGCGTCAATGGTAAGGCTAGCCTTTTTGCCACCAGCCCATGCGTTCCAAGATCTCAAATGTCCAATAAACAACGGCTAAACTTTCCTCTCTTCCCAACCTCAATATCCCTCTCATAGGAGCAACTTTAAGGAATACATCATCTCCTATTTCAAATCTGAGTTCTTTCCTTCCGATGTTCGCATATTTCTTCTACAATTTCAACACAAGGGAGTATCCATGTTCTGCTCTATGAACACTGGAAAACTGTGCCATTCTCCTTATCTCCTCTAAGTACATTCATGTCCACTTGTCTATTAAATAGGTGGATTTCCTTGTATGAAGTGTGCCGACTTCACTAGTCTGTCAATGGTGACCTAAATCCACTGTCTATTAAATAGGTGGATTTCCTTGTATGAAGTGTGCCGACTTCACTAGTCTGTCAATGGTGAACTAAATCACTGTGCAATGTTCCCTTGTCTTTGGCAAGCTTAAAATAGAATCTATTGCCATGTCCTCCCACTTCCACTTTGGGATGCTCGAGGGCTGCGCTAATTTTGAGGGTCTTTATCTTGTTGTCTTAACTTGCTGATAAGTCAAACATCGATTCACAAACTCTACTAACAACTACATATGTCATACCAATACAATAATTTCCCTTCTCTACCACACCTACTAGTGAAAATTTATTCTTGTGTCGTATTCCTCTCAATACTTGTCCTCATGCAACACCCTTCTCAAGCGTGATCCAAGATTCGTCCCAACTTCCCCCCTTTTGTTGCTTCGTGAGTCAGCAAGGGCGTTCCTTCACGATTGGCTGAAATGCCTCATAGACGGAAAATCATCAGCTCATCTCTCCACACCTCTTATGGTGTACTTATTATTGGTTCTTCTCTTAGAATTGACCGATGTGTTACTAGCACTCATACCGACTATAGTGCTGGAATATCAAACTTCACGTCTCGTGATGGTATTATAAACTCTTGATCGTATCATAAGTCTAGTTAAGGGTTCCATGCTTTTTGACTTGAGATCCTTCTCATTTATACTCACAAATTCACGCAATATTCATTCACATGATAGCTCATTGGACCACAAAGAATTTCTGAACATCACACTGCCTGCCTGGCAATAAATAGCCAAACGTCTATACAGAACAGGAACACTGCATCCACAAAGAATTTCTATAACTTCACTTGTAACTATCCAAATTAATTAAGAAAGGCTATTAGTTGTTCAACCTGTCTTTTCCTCTTTTTCTTTCTCTCTCTATCTCTTTCTTTTCTTTTCTTTTTTGAAAAGGAGTGATTATTACTGGTTTTCCGGTAGAGACCAAATATTCAAAGTTGTATCCCTTCCCGTGTCCTATATTGGTAGTGCATAAACAGCCTGGACCTAGATTATACTTAAATCCCTAAGAGCAGAAAATGGGACAAAGAAATTGTCCAAGAGTCGGAAACCATGGCTAGGGATAAAACAGGATAGCATATTTGATTTACGCAGCAAAAGTAGCGGGTTTCACTTATCCTAAGAACTTCAAGAAACGTGTGACATACAACTATAGCAGCATTTTATTCAATATAAGTTGTATGTATCATATGACATTTCCAAAGAACAACCAAGGAATGAAAGCCAAATCCTAAAAGATCAAAATTCAAAAACAAAAAGCTATAAAGCCAAAATCACTTCCTAGATCTTTAAGGTTCTGCTTATATTATGAACCAGAAATTGGACTAGCCCTCAGATCCACCGTTTATTAAGGGGCAATGTATTCAGCTTTCCTACCATCTGCATTGACAATGATCCGAAAATAACCTATGTCATTTTAAACAAAAGGGATGACTAGTACACCAACAGCAAACGCACAACTTACGTAATTGACAGACTACTGACTTGTGCAAAGAAGATGAATCAGACTACCTTTACGAGGGCGGGGGGTAAGCCAAGAACAGAATAGCAATATAATGCATGAGGTATTGATAAATTCAACTTCATACCCTAAGATGCCTTTACCATTCGATCAATGACCAACGAGATCCCAAACCAAAAACCTAAATCCAAAGATCACCACATACGTAATCGGTTGTTGAACGGGGAAAAAATGAAACATAAAAGACTTACCTTACTACTTTTGATAACCACCTCCACGGGCATTCATATCCTCCTCGATCGCGGCAGTCAGATAGACTTTGGGGAAGTCAGCAGGGTCGAACTTGGTCTCCTTCATCATCTTCTCGACGTCAGGTTTCTTGAGGATGGTGCGTCGAATTGGAGGGCGATTGCGACGCTGGTCGCGGGTGTAATACTTAATATCAAAGACGGTCTCGGGATTGGAGGTAGGGACAATCGCTTTCTCCTTCGTAGTGGCGGGGCAAAAGACCCTGTACTCTATGGCACTCGGGACGGCCAATTTGTACTCTGGATCTGCACACGGGCCGGTGATCTCCCAAGGCTTCTTGATGTAGCGCTTTAGGGTTTGGAAGAAGGAGGAAGAAGCTTTGGCCATGGTGAACGGTAGCGAAGCTGAGCGGAGCAACCCAAAAATTCTTCCGACGAAAAAACGAAACTTTTAAAGATACCCAATAAATTTTGTGAAACGCTTTTCTAATTTTTTTACGACCGAAAGATCCTAGCCAAAACCCAACTGTGCTTTTTTTTTTTTTTTTTTAATTATTATTATTATTTATTTATGAATTAGTAAAAAAAAAAAAAGTTCTCACATTTTCATAATATATTTTTATTAATTATTGATGAAATTAGATGAAAGGTTAAACCCATTCTTTTAATATTTTTTAAGGGAAATTTTATTTTAATATATGATATTTAAGTAACGAGATCTTACCTTAGAATATACCATGTGAAATGTTTAGTCGACGTGTCAAATCTGAATTGTAAATTCATACATGAAACCAATCATACACATGATAGTAGGTCATATAATGTATGAAATTTTTCTGCCATTTTAATCTGCTGGAAAAGGATATATTCAATAATTGCAATATACAAAACGACGACGTCGAAGGAGAACGAAAGGTGGCACCTACCATTCGTTCCCACGGCAGGAAAACTCCATAGCCGAAATTCAATTGGATCTCTGCAAATTGGACACCAAATTCGACGCAGCAAATGCCGCTGAGCCGCCCACGACTGAGACCAGAGCCACCGCCGCCTGCAACGCGATTTCCCAAACACTCTCCTCCGGCACCAAATACACGCACGAAGGCCCCAATAGCAACAGCCCCAAGCTCAGACTAAGTAGCGCCCCGGGAGTTCCCGGATCCGTCGCCGCCGATAAAATCCCCAATTCCTCAGCCTTCGACAGAAGCCCTAATTTCTCAATCGACGACAGAGACAACCCGGCCTTCTCCGCCGCAGACAGCAGGCCAGCCTTCTCCGCCTTGCTCAGTAGCTTCAATTGCTCCACCCTCGTCAGTAGTTTAATCGGCGGCGAGGTCGAGAGCGAGATGCTACTCCTCGGTCCTTTCTCCCCGAGAGGGAACACCGTCGAGTTAACCTGCAGAATGCTGGCTCTTGAGTCTTGGATTTACAGAAATTAAGTTTATGCGACGACATTGAAGCGATTCAGAGGAATAAAAAGGAAATATGCAAGCGAGAAAGAGGAACCGACCTTCTTGGTGGAGGCGATGGCCATGGAGCGTAGATCAAGAGATTGTTTTCTTGAATTCGTTTTGGATGGATAGGTGTAGACGAACGAAGCTGCTCTGCTGCTGCCACAGAAAGAAGTGACCTCCATAGCTGAGCGTCTCTAGCCGGGGAGTGTGTATGAGCTCTGAAGAACGGCGATGGTTAGGGCTGAATCTGACTGAGAGAATTGCAGAGGCCTGCACCATGGACATGAGTGATGGAGAGGCTGAGGATTCAGATATTTGAATTTCCACGTGTTCACATTTTACTGCTCCACGTGTTCTCATTTTTCGAAGATCGAATATACACCTTACGATTTTAATTTTTAATATTTTCCAATCAGTGGTGAATTTTTTAATGGTTTTCAACCATAAATTAAATAAAGTAAGGGTAAATTCGTAATCTTAGTCCACAAGGCCAATTCGTTGGCTCCCATGCCTCATCCAAGCCCAAAAACCTAAAACCCTAACGTTCTCATACGCCTTCCTCTCTGCAGTACGAGCGAAAATGGTTGACGCTTCGAGTTCAGTGAAGAAGGTGAAGAATTTTCTGTTTTCTGGAACGGCGAATTCGGTGGAGACTGTGAAATCCTTTTACAATTCTCAGGTTCATGACGAGGAAAAGTGGGCTTTGAACATGGTACTCTTTCGATCATTTTGATTTCGATTTTTTTTTCTTCCTTCTTAATCTGGATTTTTTATGTCTCCCATAAAGTTCTAAGTTTGAGAAATATCCGTTTTAGTGCTCTATTTGGTAGCAGAGAGAGTTTGAGAAATCGTGAGATTTTTGTTCATATAGGGCGACATAATATAAAGTGTCGATCCTTTAATGGAAATGCGCATTTTAGAGTATGAAGCTAGTAGATTTAACTTTTTGTTTGTCTCAAACTGCGATCTTCTTCATTTTTCATTTTTTTTTCTCTCATTTTTTAAACTGCGTAATTGAAAACAAAGATTTTTTTGGTTTTTGATCATTTCAAACGAGTGGTAGGTTTGCCTGTCTTTAGCACCTGTATAATATGCTTTGTAGGAGCTGGGAGGAATGAAGGGAGAGTTGAATGTAATGGATTTGGGTTGGTTCTCTGACATTTTCCTTCTCATTTGAATCGATGTTTTAACGCAAGCCAAGGCTCTTAACATTTTTAGCCTTGAGACTTGCCCCTTATTTGGGCTATTAGACTCATTCCATGATCATAACGTACTCAGGCTAAAAGTTTTTAATGCCTTGCGTAATGATTTGAAGAATGAAATTAATTTGTTCAAGTCTTCTACAATATAAATGTTCCTCCTTGTGTAGAATGTTAATACATGAGTTGGGGCAATTTAACCTATTAATAGATTTGTTACCTAAGATTTAATAACATTGAAGACAAAAAGATTATAGAATAAGTCAATCCTATATTGATTATAGTGGTGATGTTAAGGATGACATTTATAATTTTTATTTAAGCGGATAGGGTCGTTCATATATATATTTACACATACATTTTTATACAACTATTATATGTATGTAGCAAAACTTGATGGTTCTGAGGCTTACGCCTATACTACCTCAAGGCCTATGAATCGCCTCTTCAAGAGGAAAGGCCTCGAGGCTACCCTTAGCCTAATGTTGATTCAAAGTGAATAACGTGCAGAAAGTTCTCTAAGTTTTGGGAAGAGTTGCCAATGCATGATAACGGTCTTATCTCTTGTTCCTGTTGACATGCATCATTCTATCTTATTGAACCTAAAACATAAAACTGAACATTATGGTGTTTTTCCATTTCTAATAAGCATCATGGCTGTAGCTACAGCTAAATTTGAAATTTGAATGCATTGAAGGAATGCTTCGGCATTAAGAAGAGGGATGAATGCCTTGAAGGGTTACAAAGAGAGTAGTTTTATTGCCTTAATTCATTATTTGGAACTTGGGAGAGTATGGTTTAACTAAGATTTTGTAAAGTCTTGCTTATGTCAATTCTTTTTTGCTGTAAACACTGACTTCGAAAGAGAAGTATCTTTGTTATTCTTGAAATCTCAGGCACCAACACACAACATTTCCTTAGTATGGTTGTGTTGTATGGAATCGAATTTCAACTTCCTCTTTGTTGTTGCAGAAATTGCTTCGTGCTGCTGGAATGTTTGCAGGATCCATCCTTCTCATGCGGAATTATGGTGATCTTATGGCAATATGAGAGAGAGTTCACGAGAGGGCAGCAATTCTTATCTCATAACTTTTCTCTATTTCTGAGTTCGTTACAGCTCTATTCAATTTCAGATAGGAAGTTTCAATTTTGTTTCTCTTGGTAATGCTGCAACTGATGAGAATGTGTTCTCCCCTTTTCTCTTTGAAGTAGACCCTTTTTTAAACGTACTATTTGTCACCTAAATCAGATGGACAGATGAAATCTGAAATCCAAAACACTTGATTAAACCTTGAAAACTATTGCCTTCCTTCTTCCCTCCCTGCCCTGAAAGAGATCAATTCTTTTTTGCTTTCTCAGTATAATCTTTAAACCTTTGTGGACTCTACTTTCATGTATAGATTATGAATATTCAAAGTATTTTAAGTATCATTGATGTTTCTTTGCAAGGATGGGTGTGTTATAAGGCCGTTCTGCAAATTCATCATCCATCACAGCCTTGCCAAGGGTACAAAGTTCAACACATGATTTACGAAAATCATAGATAGAAACAATCTCTATTTGGTCTTGTGAGAACAAGCAGGGAAACATGGGGTTAGTAGGAGAGACAAAAAGCAAGTTTGTCCATACAACTTGCTGCTGTTTGAAACCAAAGCAGCTAACCAAGCAAGTGGATTGCTTTAAACTTGTCTGTATCGGCCCACCCACCTATTCCCTCCATCTTCCTTTTCGTTTCCCCCACCAAAATGTTGAAAATCATACACTTCTTTTATTCCAAGGGTCTTTTTCAATACGATTTAGATGAAGATTCTGTGTCACAATTGTAAATGCAATTGTATTCCTTACAATTGTATTCCAAAGAAAATCATCAAGGACGATGAATATGATGAATAGTTTAAGTGGGTAGAATATTACAACCGTATTCCCCGTCCTCTACGGTTGCACATACACTCATCTTTTATGAAGGACCTTCATAGGGCCTGATAGGCATTCAAACAAGTTTTTCATTTAAATTAATTTAGATGAAATTCCAATAAATTTTCCTCATTAAAAATAAAAATCTTAATTTCCATTGTTTGCTACTCTCACGAAGCAGATGAGAATGAAATAATCACAAAATTTTATATATTCCTTTCTTTTCACCATCAATCATTAATTTAATAAAGATGATAAGTTGTAAACTTTTTTAAATGCAAAAAGAAAAAGAAAAAAAAAACAGTGCAGTCATGAGAATAATTTTATACATCACTGGCAAAATATAAAGTCATAGCCTTATGTTTAATCCAGTAAGCATAATTCTCCTTTTAAATAGATTGAGTCAAAGATATGCTTTAATTTATGTAATTAATCAAATTGCAGAATTGTAATCTTAGCTTAATCAACTTAATTAAATTGCACTAATCCAAGTTGATATTGAAGTTGCCACTTGATTTGATGCTAATTGATTGATTACCCATTATATTTAATTTAAATCAACTTGCTTCATAGTTTATTGTTTATTGTGGAGAATCCTATCATATCATACTCTCTGTGTTTATTTTAATAATTACCAAAGTCTTCATGATTCCATCCTATGTGACCACTTTACCTTGTCTATGGATATATCTTATTAAATCTTTATACAAAATCCTCTTATAATATTATATTTTATCTTTCTTTTCTCCGAGTTGCAACTTGTCTTAATATTTAGAATATTGGATGGTCAAACTAAACGCTTTTCAAATTTTATATTCTTTTCTATGCATTTATTGCATACAGCTAAACGGTACTTACGTTTTAGAAAATTCAATTAAATAATTATGTCTTAAAAAATGCTCGTCATAGATTCATATTCAATATCCAATCAAAATCGAACATATGATTGACCTAATCACCATCTAAGTAGATGTCGCGTAGCTTATTAATTATCACGTGTTTGATTATCTAATTTGTTTGTTCTCTATTTATCCAATTAATAATAATTTTAAAGAATGTTATGGATATAACGTTTTTTTTTTTTTTTTACTAAGTAACCAACAACGATGCAATGAAATTACCATTTTGTACCCGAAAAAATCATTTTGATTATTGTACTTTAATATTCATTTAATTTATTTTAATATATAAATTTAATTTGAATTTAATTTTCATAGTTAATTTAGGATTAAACTATATTAAAAATTTATTATTTATAATTTTCATTAAAAGTTCTAGATATTTTTAATTTTGAGAGGAGAACAATATCTTTTTAACGTGGCCTTCAATATTTTTTAAATTAAAATATCAAATAAACACAAAAATAAAAATTTAATTGACAATTAATTATGAATAAAAGGTGAGTTATGGAAAAAATTGGAAGTGGTCCACACTCGATAGTTGGCGCGTGTGAGACACCAACCAGCCTGGTATGTTGTGACAAACCTGTCAGATAGGGGGGACAAATCAAGTTGATGCCTCGTCATTCCGTACGAGGCTTTTCTTGACACGTAGCATGCAAGTTGCCAAGTGGCAGCATGTGGTTCCCATTCTATCCCTTCCATAATAAGCCACGTGTGTCTTACTATATATACATTTTTTTTTTTTTAATTTTCCTTGGTTTTCTTTTTTGACCTTGTAAATCCACTCTCAACTTGCTTGTCGGGTCCCACTTCCACTCCTTACTGGGCCCCACTCCTCTCTTGTCCCCACGTCCAATCGAAATCACCACGTGGCGCCGCGATTATTTTCACCTGATTTCTCGCAATCGTCCGTTAAAGTGAAACTAAACTGCGCCAAGTTGCAATTTTGCGCCCAAATCAAGAATACGTTAGAAACTAACGAAGAACGTTAAAGTTGATTTCTTTATCCCTCGCAAATCACGTTCAAAAAAGAAGAAAAACAACAAATTTTCATAATTATTTTACCTTTTATTTTCTATAAAGTTCATGTTTTTTTTTTTGTTTTACAAAAATCAGTATTTTTTTTATATTAAATTATAAATTTAATCCTCTAATAAAACTTAACTGTGTGCTCCTTTTATTCACGGAATATAATGCATAATTTCTGTTAAATAAATTATTTAAAAATAGAATAAAACAAAATATTCCTTGCTACCAAAACTAATTCCTACTTTATTTATTGTTTTATTT